ATCAAAGTTGTTAAAAATTAAAATATCAGGATATTGTATGAACTGTAATAATGTTTATATAACTCATTTCATTTCTTTTTATGTTTCCTAAAACAACTGTGAGAATTACTTTAATAATTTGGTGTAATTTGAGAAAAAAAAATACTACCAAAAGGCTTGGTAGGAGAGAATTAAAATCTTTAAAAGTTTTAAATTTTGGAATATTAAATGCTTATAGTGTCAATGTGAATTGATTTAAAGATAATGTATTTAAAAAGGGCAAAAAACAGAATTGTACATTTTGCGTTTTACATATCATGTTCAAAGCACTCCAACAATAATAAATGTGTTTCTGTGAGGTTGTTTCATTTACAGAACAACTGACCTAAAGCAAGTACACTTCATGTTTGAATACAAGTGAATCTTTGCACTAGCTTAGTGATTACTAATAGTTTTCTGAGTTTGACTGTAAAATGGAGTATTCTGTATCCTAGTGGATAAAATTTATCCCAGTAAAAATGGCATGTAGAAGGCTCTTGGCAACTATAGCTCATGTCAGCAGTGATGTTAACTTCACCTAAATAAATCCTGAGTCGTCAAGCTTTGTGTGTTGCTAACACATCCAGGACCTAGAGTCCAGGTACACAGCTGTTCTTTCAGCCTATGAACTGGAAAAGCAGTTTTGATTCCTATATTACTTGCATAGTGGCTGGAGCCATTGGATTTACAAAAAAGGCTCTGTGCCCTTTTTGCTAGCCCATGACCATTATAGTTCTCATCAGTGAAGTGCACAGGGTGTAGATGAGTATAAAAGACTCCCGTTCTGCATGTCCTCACACCATAAAACAGGGTTGTATAATATGTTGCAATCTAAAGACTTCAGTAAAAAATAGATGCTTTTTATATTAAGCAAATTGCTTCCCACCACCCCCAAAACATTACCTATACAGCTCTTCCAGTAGTACCCATCCTGTCATCCCTAATAGTCATTAAAGTCTTCAGGGATTATATCAAATGGAAAGAATTATTAGGTATTATTATTTAAATAACTATGATAAGGAAAAAAACCCAACATGTTCAAAGTCAACATTTGTTTTCTAGGGTTACTTAGTGTCACATAATGTTACTTAGGAAAAAACATCTTGAGTTTAATAAAAATAAAGATATGTGATGGGGTAAATCAGGGTGCATGAAATGATTCAGTAAAAGGTATATTGGTAATTGTTTTAAGTGGGTTTAGCTTCCTAAATAGCTTATTCACTGCCCTCTAAGTGCCAACATACGGTTACAATCAAGGAGCAGGTCATTTACCAACAGAAGCAATTATAAAATGCAAATGGATGAGCATTTATTGTCAAGATTGTCTTAGATAAAAAGGTCTGCTTAATAACATGTCTCCAAGTAGATGACATAATTATGTGTTTGTGTTATAAACTATAGGGAAAAAAATACAAACTGTTGGCTTTTACAGCCTGTAATAAAAGTAAATGGGTGAGCATTCTGATGTGTTATTTCTATTAAAATCTGGACATTCAATTCCCTTCTAAAAATTACAAGACACCATCTTGTAGTTTCCTATAGGAATGCAGCTCAAAGAGCCTGGAAACCTCAGTGTCCATTCATCTCAGCCACATGCTTGTACTAAAATTTCAAACTTCTGCTACAAAGAATGGCAGGACATTGCCACAATTTCATTCTAAAATCTTCCATTGAAAAAAGTTACTGAATGATTTGCGAGAGCTGGAGGCAGTCTTTAGTCTATAAGGGGTATGGATAAATGTATAGTTATAGCATCTTTAAAAGATAAAGAAGGAGTTGCTGTTCAAGGACATGGGTAGGCTTTTATTTGTACTGCTGTAAATTCTTGAGAAATCTGCAGAAGTAGAAATGTTCCTGAAAGAGGGAGCGTACAAGTGTTTCAGCCAGCAAACACCCCCCCCTCTCATTCTCTCTACACCTTCCCCAGACCAGTCAGTCCTCTGGTGTTTGGGAGGTGTCCAGCTGCACGGATATGCACCCACACCTTGAAGGCACAAATCAGCTGATATTCAGTTCCTCCTAACCATGAATGAGTTGAGCATGTAGACATTCACTGTGGTATGTATGATAATAGAATCAAGCATATATGCTAATGGTTTTGATTTCTTCAGCTGTGGATGCACTAGTGAATTCTTCATAAATTAGGATATTTTTTGATGTTTCTCAAACAAATCAACAAGGATTGACAGTTTTGCTCTGATCATAGTAGAGTTTTTCTTTGCTTTCCAAAGTCATTAAAACAGAAATGACTCTATAAATGGAGAATGCTGTTATGAAATGAAAGAAATATATTTTCTTGATTGACCTTTGACAGTTATCCAAAAAGTTTTCAGCTAATAGCCTTATATACATTTCAAGAAAATTAGGTGGAAGTAAGATCAGAGCCACTCTGCCATATATTTTCAAAGTATGGTACCAACAATATCATTACAATCTTGCTTGGAAATTTTTTGACTTCAGTTTCATTTCTACAGGTCTCTATCCTGAAACTGTCTCCAGGCAAGCAGACCTTTCCACTTCCACAGGAGTCCATGAGGACACACAGCCATTTCATGGACACATGGCTATTTCAGAAGACAAGCAACTATGCTGCAGAAAACTGCATCTAAATAAGTACAAAATATGCAGTGTCCTACTTAATTAGCAGGTGATATGGCTGTAGTTGTAAGCATATGTTTTAGCACCAAATGGTCACTCTTGTCATCCTGGGATGTTGTTTAGTCACAGGCTAAATCCTGTTTAATTCATTTTGCTTATTTAACCACCAACATAGAGATTTATTCTGTTTTCCTTCAATCCCCAAGTGGAACTATTATGGACTAAAGTAACTGTTCAAAAACAAAAAAGCCAGACTAACCAACCAAACAAAACAAAACAAAAAAAAAACAGAGAAGAGTTGAAGGATCAAATCCACAAAAGGGGTGAGGCTTTTTTTTTAGTTATTTGCTCTTTTGGTGTAGTATCCAAGGACAAGTCAAGCATTGGGTCATACCTAAGAACATCAAGTAAAATGAAATATGCATTCTATCCCTGTAAAGCACTAAACACATAATGTTACAGATTTCTTATGAAAATGGTCACAACTTCTGCAAATTAAGATTTTAAAATATCAAGGCCAGTGGTTCTCAGCCTTTTTAGACCCAAGGCACCTCTTATTAGACCGGTGGCACCCTTTGGAAGATGCAAACTCTTAGTTTTCACTCATTTTTGACTACAGGAAAATAACATGGCAATTTTTATGTTGTAAAGAACTCAGAAAGACCACACCAAGTCAGAATGCTTGTAAAACTATGGATCCATATTTTAAATGAGTAAGTTTATCTTGTGATGTGTGTTTGTGCAGCTAACAGTGCTAATATTGTATGACACCCTGTATACCTTTGACAGTATCTCAAGGCACCCTGCTTGAGAATCACTGATATAGGCCCACTAAAGCCAAATATACTAACATTCATAATATGGATATTATTTCAAGGGCAGAAAAGCCACTGTGATGCACATGAATTAGCTTTGTACCTAATCATATCAAACTGGATGCAATATGCAATTCCTGCAAAGTAGTAAACAGCTAAAGTTACACAAATTCTCATCAAATTGGTCTCATGTCTGTACATGAAGATTTTGAAAGTTTTCAGACTGGCTGAACCAAAATATACGGATGTTCACATTAAGTAAATTCCATAAAGCATGGATAATATCACTGTGATATACACAAATTATTTAAAATAAATAGTATTTTCCATGCAAATTCATCTCAGAGGTCTAAATATGGGTTAACAGAACTGAATTGTCTATTATTATTACTACTAATAATAAAAGAATCAAATAGTCATTTATCCTCTTAATAATTTTTTTAGTACAATTTAATAAAACCTACCCATGTTCAAATCTGTTTAGGAACTTGTGACCTCATTTTGCCTTACTGGTTAATATCAAAACTTGCTTTAGCAACATTTAAAAAAAATAAAGTATTTGCACTCAAAAGGGTGTGTATATATCAGTATAAATTCAGAAGTCACAAAAGAGTTAAAAACAGGCATTTAGATATTTCTGAGTAATATTTCAAGTTAAAAAATCACCAGTAGCACTTGAAAAATATCAATATAAATATGCATTCTGGATTTACCACTGCTTTTAATAAAATAAGGTATTAAAATGGGGATTAATAAAGGACACAAACTCCTCATAAGTGCAACCCACCCCATAAAATAATAATTTTGTCCTGAATTTTACGATGTAAATTCAAAGATCAATAAGAACTATCCTTTAGTTCAACTTTATGTATTATGCATATTTACATAAATATTTGTTAAGCTTTGATGATGATTATGCCTCCTAAGAAATCTGCAAGAAAATATAAGATCTATCAATAATTAGATTATCATGATTGCGTTAGCAGTTGATACAGAACAAATAATATCAGATGTTCAAAACTGGATAAATTTAAATTACAGGAGATCAAATTATAATCAGTAGTGGAACAACATAAAACATATTAACCTAATAATTTCCAGATGCTACTAGGCCAACTCTGAAGGTGTAAATTTTTCCAGGAAAGAACATAGAGGACTTTCTGGACTTCTGACTTTGAACTGATGGATAGTTTTGCCTTTAAAAATCAGAATTATCTGTAGAAGATTATTTTTCCCCATTACAGTTTCAGAATTCTTCTTCATCCGTTAAATTAACTGCAGTGAACTTCCAGGAGTAAAAAGCTGTCTTTTTTCAGGCTTGAATAAGAGGAGAAATAGTCACTTGTCCTGAAAGCTGGCTACAATTAAACATATTAGAAACAAATTAAAAGTTGTAAAATGAAACCTTAGGTGCTCTGCTGTGAAGCATTGTTACATAAGTACTATACTAGGCTCAAAAAAATAAAATAACAGAACAGCCCTCCATTTGGTTTGATAAGTTTAAAAAGTTTAAAAAATGCTTTGAAAAGCCAACAATAAAAAAATTAAGTGGGAAAATATTATATTTACCTTTTCCAACTGGGCATTTTTTTTTGATTTGTACAAAAACTCCCCCACAGCCACAAAGACAGAAAGCACCAATCCTGCTGCCAAAACAATGAAGATGCCACCAATATTTTGAACTCCCAGTGCACTAGCTTCTTTGCTCTCCTCCTCTGGACAACCATTGCCTCTCCACCACTTCTCCTTCATCATGTGAAGCTTGCCTTCTTCTTGAAGCTGAAGAATTGCTATAGTGATCTTGTCTCTATAAGGAGATCCTAAAAGAGATCACAGAGCACATTGTAGCATATCTTATTCATTGTAGCATATCTTAGAGAGAATAAGACTGTTTTAGTGTTGTCCTGTGGGGGATGAAATGAGGGGAACAATGATGAGTCTTGCAATGAGGATTCAAAATTATTTTAGGTAGATATTTCAATCAGAAAGTGAGGATGTTTGTAATCTTTCCATATCACAACACCTAAGTCTGATCGTTAAAGTTAACTGACTACAACCCAAGACACCCATCATATTTTCTCACATGTAAGATGCACCTTTTTTCCAGAAACCTCCTGCTGGAAATTGAGATGTATACTATAAGCAGAGAACTAGAGTAACAGCAGTTTATGCTACTTAAGCTTCTGCCTGGTGAAAGTGAAAGTAACTGCATATAATGCACACTGGGTGCATCTACATGTGACGGTCATGTGAATTAATAAACTGGTGTATAATGACCTGGAGTTTATTGCTCCTGGGCACACTGTTTGAACATGTAGCATGCTGAACCAGACTGGAGCAGCCCTGGCTGGGAAGAAGCCCAGGGAATCAGTCTGCTAGCCCAAGGATGCTCCAACCCAGTCCAACATGCTGAGGAGGTTCTGGCTGGGACACAAGGGTGCTCCAGTGATGGGCTAGCCAGTAGGCAGCCCCACACCGAAGGCCCCTCATGCCCCAACTGGCCCTGTCAGCATCTACACACATGTTGCTGCATGGCGAAGAACTCTGCCACAGGTCAGTACTTGTATATCCCCTTAGCCATCAATACAGAACAAATCATATCAGATGTTCAAAACTGGATGAATTTAAGTTCCAGGAGATCAAATTTATAAGTACTATCCTGAAGCAGAGTTAATTAGTTTCCTATGGCCTAATAGAGCTGCACATGTAGACATTGAGTCATTTAATGCAGAGCGAATTAGGCAGCTCAGCAATAAACGTCTCGTGTAGATGCACCCACAGAGCAGAACGATGAGCAGGTTCTGCTCCCTAGGTGGTTTTACTCAGTTACTTACTACATAGAAATATCTTCTTTTCTTTATTCTGCCTTTCAAAAACAAGAAATATATCTTGCTCTGGGGTGTGCTGTATGCAAGAAAATATAGTATTTGTATTAGTTCAATTTATTCAAGCAAATATCTGAATTGGCCATACACTTGGCTGGTTATGCAATTAATTGGTCACATGAATGAATATAAAAAGTGATATGTCCATGAATATTGGGTATTTAAGTGCATAGGCTGTTGTAAATGTGATTCCTGATATGTCCATGAATATTGGGTATTTAATTTGCGCTGTTGTAAGTGTGATTCCTGCAGGACAAGTTTTACAGACAAAAACATCTGAAACCTAGAAAATCCATCACAGTTAGTCATATAACTACAGACATCTGAAGTCTTATATACCCATTAGTTGCAGGGATAAATAATCACATCCTCTTATACCACAGAGGACTTAGTTTAACAGATCTCAAACTACGGGACCATTACAGAAACAGAGCAACCCAGGAATTATCAGAAATGCCAATTGTTAGGCTACATAACTTCCCAAGACTGTCAAGCCTACCAGAAATCTAAGACTATCTTTATTTTACCAAATTTTAATAGAAAATGCCTTTCTTCAGGAAGTGTTGACTAGAAACAGCACCTTCACTCCTTGACAGCTGCCATCTAGGTTTGCAGGATATTGGTAAGAGGACTTCACTTTGATAAACAGAAAAGGCAATATTTCTCTGTTGCCAACATACATCTGCTGTTGTTTTATATTTCTCTAAGCACACATTATCACTTTCAAAGTTAAATATATGTAGTACTATTTTTATTAGTCTCTAAAACAGAATTTTCAGACCCGATGCTATGCTCTAGTGACAGAAAATGTCCCCAAAATAATTGGTAGGGCTGTGCAAAACTTCGGTCCCTGATTTGATTCTGCAGAGATTTGGCCTGATTTGGTGACTGAATCTCCAAATCTGAATTGAATTAGAAGACCCTTTAATCTCTCTGATTCGAATGGGAACCCTCCAAATTGATTTGGAGAGATTCAGAAAGATTCAGAAATTGGACATAAGAGGCAGCTTTAAATGTTTTTTCTACGTACCACTAGGTAGCAAAGGCTTGTTAATGCTACGATGCTGGGGTGCATGGAGCATCCCACAGGAGTGCGGGGGGCTCCCCAGTGCGCTTGGCAGCAGACCTGGAAGTGGACCAGAAGCACTTCTGGTCCACTTCTGAGTCCATCAGGGAGCGTGCTAGGGTACCCCTCTGCACCCCCCGGCTCAGTGACTGGTGCCTCTTGGGTCGGCTGGGGGCACCCAGGGTCCCCCTGCAGCCGATCGCCAAGCTGGGGAGGCACACAGAGACCCCCCAGCGAGCTCCCCAGCAGACCTGGAAGTGGACCAGAAGTAGTTCCAGTCCACTTCCAGGTTCGCACATGGAGGGCCCCCCGCACTCCTGTGGGATGCTCCATGCACCACAGCAATAATAAGCCATGTATGCTACCTCAGGATATGTAGAAAAAACTTTTAAAGCTGTGTCTGTCTGAATCGCTGATTCTCCAAATCAGCATTGAATCTTCAGATTCAGATTTGGCTGAAGTGAATCAGGGACAGTGATCCAAATCAACGAATCGAATCACTGTCCCTGGTTCAGGCTGAATCTGAATCAAAATCAAATAGGGGCCACTTAGGGGCCACTTTGCACACCCCTAATAATCAGGAAAGCCCTTGGGGGTCTAAGTGACAAATGACATTATGCCTTGGAATTTTTTCAGTGCTATGTACTTCAGCCAGTAGCATAACTAGGAGTTGGTGAGCAAGGCATGTGCCCCAGGCACCAATTTAGGAGGGGCACCAGAATCACCCCCCAGCCCCACAGCATCAATACCTTGGCAGCAAAAGCAGCCAAATGGCATTGCTCTTGAAGCAGCAACCAGGTACATGGACACTGGCTGTAACAGCAACAGCCAGGGAAGGCAGACCACTCTGCAGCTGTGGCAGTGGCAGTAGCAGCAGCAGTAGGAGCTGAGGATGGCTGCCTTCCTCTGATGTCCCTTTATGCTACTAAAGCCCTTTGACCTAGTACAAAGAGGTCAAACTGGAGATGGAAATCTTAAAAGATAAGAGGGAATAGAGACTATGCATAGTCCTTGGCAATGGAATCTGCTTCCCCACCAGTGCCTGATTCCTTTGGGCCTCAGAGCAGGGTAACACCTAAATTTGCAAGGCTGTAACAAAATGATAACTTTTTTTTTCTATGTGTGTCTGCATGTAGGGATACATTTTATTGTAGGCAAGCCTCTTACTCTTTAATGAGATGCTGTTTTTTCATTCTTTGCACAGTGCCCGGGGACTTTGTAGTGAACACTTTACAAATTACACTAATTAATAAATAATGGAAATGGAGAAGGCTTTTACTTTTCAATGGCACAGAGTAAATCACTGACATCATCCCTAAGTGTTTTCTATGTTGCGATTTTGTGCTGTATTTAGGGACAGCAGAGCTATCTTTTTATCATTGTTAGTCTCTTCTGGGTGCTTAACTCGGGTTGTAAACTGAAGATGCTACCAAATGTATCAGGGTATGAGGAAGTCTCTTAGCTGAAAAATAAAATAGTCACACCCCTCCTCCCCCCAGTATGTTGTGTTGGTAAGACGTGTAAGACAACAATGGGACTTCTGCCTCCATGAGCCTTCTCTTTGTAATGCCTCCCACAATTACATAAATACTGCCTGAAATTGTTAGTGTATCCTATTTAGTTAAATAATAAGATGTATTTTTATTCTTTGTGTTCTTTTGTCTCACTAACCTGCTGTGTGAAGGGTGCTGTCTGGCTCACTAGCTGTCTATGCTACTATGAGGTGGTAGATACAAGTGCACGGATGCGTAATTTTCATGCTCATGAAAAACACTATCTCTGCATATAGCACTTGGCATATTACAAAAGAGCTAGATTTTATCATAAGAACAGAGTCCATAGGAAAGGACAGAACAATGCTGAGTGAACAACTGTTGTTCGGAAATGCATAATATCATCTGTTGCCCTAGGGCTTGGCAATTTGCTAATCCCCAGAGAGTAGAGAACAGGAAAGTCAAGGAAGACCTTATTCACCAACTACCTGCTTTAGGGAAGGTGTAAACATGCATGTAACTGTGCTTATTCCTGTGCATCAAATGTAACACCTGTGTAGTTGACTTAGGGCTGTAAGATACATGTGCATGTACCCTAAGTCACAATCTAGTGCTCTGTGATTATGCAGAAACATTTTACAGTCTATCCGTAATAAATTTTTTCACTCAGATGGAAGAAGGAAAGAGGTTATTCCAGACCAGGGCCTAGGGGAAACTAAGTCCATAGCTACAATCTTTTGGGGATATTTTTGGCATTACTTTGCTTATAAATATGTAAAAACAGCAACTTGCATGACTTGAGATTCTAAAAAGTAATTTTTTGTCTCCCAACTCCTGCTTCCATCCATGCATGTGGACCCAGTTTGAAGAATTTCTGATATGACAGAGGCTAGAAAGCAAAATACAAGCAGTTTGTTTGTTTGTTTGTTTGTTTGCAGGGGGGGAGGATCAATCTTTTTTTTTTTTAGTCCAAATGTTTACAGAGTTGAGGAAACTGAGATGATGGTCAAGATGGTGACAGCTAACTCTCTTGTTTATCCATATTTTAGGGGTCAAATTGTAATGGTAAAATTATAATCAATTTGAAGTAGAGAATTTGTAGAAGGAGATTCTAATTCACTGACCCATGAGCTCTCCTGTCAGGATGCACTATAATTACGATCTACATTGACCAGACATTCCATTTTGTTATTTCTATTAGAAATTATGTGTTTACTTGTTTAAATAAATCTGAATAAACAAATCATTTCATCAGAATAAACCATAAGCACTGAATTATGAGGACTATTATTCAAGTCTGAAAAAAAAATCCAAATGAATGTATAGTATGTATAGTACTATATTATAATACTCAATAGAGTATAGCATTATTGTAG